GCACCCCGTATTTTTCCCCTGTATTTACCATGCACGTTCCATGGTTTATTTGGAAACACACTCTGAGATGCCAAACACCGAAATGTGTATTCATTCATTACAAAACAGTGCAGCACATCTGCTGCTCTTCTCCAACGCTCAGTTCTAAGTAAAGCCACTGACAAGACACACACATGCACTGTCTGCCGGTGAGTGAAAGTAAAGGGAGAAATATTTGTATGTGACTGATAATTTTGTTGAGGAGAAATGCTTTCGATAAATGAATATATTGTTTATAAATGCAACTTTGTGTGAGTATTTTTCAGAATCTCCAAGAGGCCTGGTTTAGTGTCTTTTGGTAATTCAGAATATGCATGTAACCGAGTTAGAAGCGCATAAAAAACACTCGACACGACCTGAAGACCCGAAGAATACCTCAAGATTTTGCGCATGCACACGTCCTCTTTCTGGGGATTCAGAATATGGTCACCCTACCTAAGGTTTTAGGCCCTACAAAAGTAATTGAAATTAATTAAGATCACTTTTTTGATCAGAGTGAAGAGAATCTTAAATGGATAATATAATTTCCCTTTATGGTTGTTTAATTTTTAAAATGGGATTACAATGTAGTCCCAAGACCATTAGGGTTAGGGTTAGGGTTATAATGGGGGACTTCTGTCTGAGCAGGCCCAGAAGAATGTACAAAAATTCTGGCCGTTGCTTGCTCTTGGTGGGGGAGGCTTCATTCTCCAAATGTAAGATGTCTTTGCATTAAGGTTTTATACGGAATATAACAGAATCAGCCGCCGCAGTGACATTTTCGTATAAAGTGCGCTGAAAGCTCGCCGATTCAAACCTGGTCAGCTTTCGGCAGCGTATCGGCATACGTCACCGTTGCCTAACTGGCAGGTTTCCACAGTGTCAGGCACATTTCAGAGCAATAAATAATCAACAACAAGTAACAATATGAGTCAGCACATACATTTAGATCTATATAGATATATTCAGATCTATATCTGATCTGATGAGCGCGTTTGGCACACATTTGGACACACAACCTGACCGAATCAACACAGCTGAAACCGCATTAAATTAAATTAAATATCTAGTAAATAGACACACATGATGAAGTTAATATATGTAATTCATCTCCCTCCTTTTCTTTCTTCCTCTTCCTCTTATTTCTCACACAGCTCGACCTGGACATGTCTCCGTGCCCTCTCCCCGTCCTGCTGCTGCTGCCCGGCTGAACAGATGATTCGTTTCAGTGATCAGATGAGTTATTTACTTTAATCCTACATACAGATATTATAATATTCAGTTTTGTGAGCCAAATTTATTTTATATTCCAACATCAATAAAAGAAACAGCCAGGCCGCGGAGCGCGATGCATCCTTTACGCACAGATGGTTCCGATTTTAATGCCATTTTTGGAATTTATGATGTGAACTCTGCGCACAACCCACCTTTGTCATGTGAGGTTTGAATATGTACAACTTTATGTGAGTGTCTTTATCTGTGGAAAGGGTGTTTGTCTTACTAGTGGGTCCAACCTTACACACACCAAATCCATCTGTGCTCATATGAGACAGTGTGAAGGACGCCCCCTGCAGTACTTACAGCGACACTTGTTGAGGAGCTGCCTTCTGTCGCCGTCGTGTGGCATTACTGTCTTCAGACATCTCTTGATCCCTTTGACTACTTCACAAAAATAGTAATACGCCTTGCTGGTGGCGGACTTAAAGGCGAAGAGAGGAGCTGATGTTATTGGTCAATACAGGTCTCGGCTGTGTTAAACCCACCCCACCCGCCCTCTCTTCTCCCTCACTACGACTTACGCAGCTGGGAGGAGCTGAGTTAGGGAAGGGGGGATACTTAAGCCGGGCTGCGCCGCTCACCAAAATACCAAATTGTGCTTGGGAACGCCTTGTCGGCGCAGTAGACCTGACTAACGCCGCGCCTGCGCCACGTCTCCAGCGAAGCATGAAAATAGAGCCCTATTTGTGTGTGTGTGTGTGTGTGTGTGTGTTCACATGTCAGCATCTTTTGTGCTGTGAACCAAGTAGTGATAAGATTGCTAGGTCTTGTGTGTTTGCTCTCATGATGAGTCACTAATTAGCATACAGAGCAAGCAACACACACACACACACACACACACACACACACACACACACACACACACACACACACACACACACACACACATCTCCTTCTCTCCCTCTATACACACCTCAAGTGTCTAACTCCCCCACCTGAATCTGTAAATAACACACACACTTTCTGTTTTTCTTCCCATGTTACCTTTGCACACACAGATAACATTCTTTTCCTCCTGTTTTCTTCTTGTCCATCCTCCCAGCTCTTGGGGAGAAGTGTGAAAAGGTCAGAGCTCTCTGGAAGTGGGGCTACTGCTGATGAAGGTGGAAAGGCAGCAGATGAATTGACCTGTCATTGGCTTCATGCTTCATCTCCAGATAAGCTTTAATTGATCTGGTGTCTGCTTATTCTGTTCTTGGCCACCTCACATGCACGAGCAAGACTGTCAGGTTTTTGTCTGTCTCTTAAATTATCATGCAGGAAGATGTTGCTCTACATATAACACTTTTTAGACCAACGTTTTGATCTTATTATCATAGGGCTCACTTGTGTCATTTCTGGATGCAGTTGTATTGTTTTAATTTCCTACAAGGTTTGTGCACACTATGAGATATCAGGCAGATTTTTCATCCTTTTCCCTTCTGATTAAAGTGAGCAAAGGTCAGATTATCTGATAGCTCTACAGACTATCATTGTTGGGCTGCTTTAAACTCAAGTCTTGGGTGGGTTGGTACTGAAGGAAAATGTAAAGCGATAGCAGGTGAGGTACCTATACCAATTACACTGGGCTGAAAAGCAACAAAAAAGGGTCAAAAGGTAGAATGAACCAACACTTAATGTGTGTATGCAGTTAAGTAAGACAGAGACAGAAGAAGCAATCTGTGGGGTGTTATACCTCAAAGGAGGCCAGGGGCCTCATGTATCAACACTTGCGTGGGACTCATACCAGAAACGAGCGCACGCAAGGTCTGTCACGCTGAAAAAAATCTGTATGTATCAAAGTGTGCGGGCGCCGAAAGCCACGTGTGTTTCCTTGATAAATCCCAATCAGCTTGGAATTGAGCGCAGATTTCGGAGCGACTGGGCCCGCCCCCGTTACGCCCTCCTATAAATATGCAGATTTATTTAAATAGGGTCTCCCTGTCCTAGCAGGCAGACAAAATGACAAGAAAAACTAAATTTACTGCGTGCGAGGTGGAGGTGCTGGTGGAGGAGCGACAGCGTGTTTTGTTTGGCAGCCTGTCCAGTGGCGTCAGTGCAAAACGAAAACGCTTGGAGTGGGAGAAAGTTTGCGAGAGGGTGAACGCGGTGGGTTCCGAGACACGCACCCCCGCGGAGATTAAAAAAAAGTGGTCAGACCTCAAGGTGGAGGTCAAGCGGCGTACAGCTGCTCTCCGGAGGAGTACCGGCCAGACAGGTGGGGCTCCGGGGGAGGAGACCCTCACGCCGTTTGAGCAGCGGGTGGTGGCGATTATTATTACAGGGTAAGTGGCGTGTCACACAAATGTCCACATGCTTTGCCATCCCACTGAACAATAGACGTATATTAGACGTCTAGTCTAAGTTTATACTTCATTTCAACGTCCGGATACAGTCTATTTTTAGACGTGATTTATACTTCGCCCTTAACTTCATTTTTCGATAACTTTTTATGCAATAAACAACTGTAATGTGCATAACTGACCTCTAAATACTGGATTACATTACCTATGATACTTTGGAGAGAGATGTAAACGCAACAGATACACAGAAGCAGGAATTGAAATGAACCAATATTTTTATTGTGTCACAGAAATCAATGTGTCGGCCGTGTTGCCGGCTTGCGGAACCCCGGCCCGTGGCAGCCCATCCACCGGCTCGGAGTCGGCGGCCAGGACCAGCGGCATTCGGGCCACCCCGGCCCCCGGCCCCAGCACCAGCACTAGCATCAGCACCAGCGCGCCGACAAGCGGTGGAGCGTCCACCAGCCGCGGCGCTTCCGCTGGACCACCCGGACGCAGTGGAAGGGTCCTCACGGAGGCGGTCCTGCAATCACAGGAAGAAATCATCAGGGGGATCGTGGGGATCAACGAGCGGCTGGACCGGCTCATAAATGTCCTCGAGCGTCTGGTGGCGAAAATAACTTAATTTGGCTCATTGAACTGTGTATTCACTTCTTACCCATTCACATTGTGGCGATGAGATTCTCCCGCGCGAGGACGGCGGCCTGGCAGGGATCAGCTCGCATAATAATAATAATAATAATGCATCAGATTTCATATAGCGCTTTTATCAGAGACCCTCAAAGCGCTTTACATTGGATACATCATTCATTCGCTCACACAGTCACACTTTGGTGGTGGTGGAAACGTGGCTGCCATTCTGCGCCTACGGCCTCTCCGACCACCACCACACAACACTCACAATCATACACCAGTGGAGGACACACACTGGGAGCAAGGTGGGTTAAGTGTCTTGCCCAAGGACACAACGGACAGACTTGGATTAGGGGGGAATCGAACCGCCAACCTTCCGGTCATTGGACGACCGCTCTACCTCCTGAGCTACTGCCGCATCCCTTCGTCTGCTGCTGGTTCGTCATGTGGGGCGACGTGCTGCTCGGCCACGGGGATGTGGTGCACGCTTGTCACATAGTGAGTCACCAAACACCGCCACACAGCGTCGCCAAAGTGCTGTCAACGCAAGTATCGGCTCAACGCCAACTTCTACACCACCTCCTCACTTTGCGTGGATTAGCGCTGGAACCGACGCTCGTGTCGCGATGATAAATCTGGACGTGTGCGCCGGTCTTGGCAGACGCAAGGTTTTCTGGCGCCGCCAGCGTTGATACATGAGGCCCCAGGAGAGGGACAATGCATTAGCCTACCTCACTGCTAATATTCCCAAGTGGCCCCCCTACACTCGCTGATAATCCTCTGGAGATCATGAGAGCGCATCGCATGGGACGCCAGTGGGAACAATCATCATTTGCCCTGACCTTCAGATGTCTCCGCTTCACGGGTAGAGACCGTATCCTTAAGGAGTCCAGAAAGAACCCAGTGGAGATCGCCGGCTGTACCATCATCTTCACCGTGGATCTCAGTGACCATATGCTGAAGCTCAGCTTTCCTGCTAACCAGTGACGAACATAGCCCGTGTCCTAGGTATGCAAGCCTTCCTACTCTACCCAGCTACCATCAGGCTGATCAACAAATCCAACCAGCATCTTTTCCGGGAGGTATCGAAGGCAGCGAAGTTCATTGCATCACTCGAGGTTAAGAAATAACTTACTGGGAGACTACTGTTTGCCACTGTAGTTCCTCATACTACATGTTGGTTTGTTTACATCCAGGTACGTCATGCACTGAGGGCCCCCTCAGGTAGCTACACAGACTGCCTGACCCAAAGTGGCTAGAGAAGCCTTGTGGTTTCACTACCATCGTACGCTGGGTCAAAATGAAATATGAAATATCAAAATGAAATTGAATCTATGTTAGTTTGCTCGATTTATCACTAACCCTATCTGGTTCACAGTACAGTACAAAGAATTTTTTTTCTCTACCCTGCTTGTTTATTACTTTCACTAAAGTTGTTTGTTTATCTGCCTGCTTTGATAGTAGTGTTTTTTTTTAATTGTTTTTTCTCTTCTTTTTTCACAGTTCTTGTTTATTATTTTCATTTGTGTCATCCTGCTGTGTGTGTGTGTGTGTGTGTGTGTGTATGTGTGTGTGTGTGTGTGTGTGTGTGTGTGTGTGCGCGCACGTATGAGTGTGGTGTGGTTGTGATGACAAATTGCATGTGTGTTTAGTTTTAGCGATAGCTGTCATCAAAGAAATTATCAACCAATCAGATAGGGTTTATTTTTAAGGGAGAGGGATGGGTATCCGTCTATCCTCTTACACTGTCACTGGAGACTGATGGGGGGTGGGTTTCAGGTGGACTGGTTTCTCCTTCCGATGCTGGGAGGGGAAAGGCAATGTGGGGAATGTTTGTTTGACCTCATGTGTTGTCTGTTGAATTTGTTGTGTGGATCGATGGGGTTTGTCAGTGGAGGGGTGGGGTCAGGCCTTTCTTTTTCTTGGACAGGGATTTGCTGCATTAAACAATGGATGTTAATTATCATTTGTAATCGAACTCCATCTATGTCACAAAAGATCATTGATAGCTATACACCTGTGTCTTTCCTCAAGTCTGCTTTTAATGCATTCTCTACAGACCACCTATGACTGAATTGAATATTTTATCACTAAATGTGCCCAGCCTTAATATGCCCCACAAAAGGACAAGTATATTGTAGATGCTCAGAAGGAGGAAAGTAGATATTGCTTTATTGCAAGAGACCTATCTGGTGAACAAGGATGTAAATAGATTGAGTAATAGGATGTATCATGTTGTAGGTTTTTCCACGGCAAACACAAAATCTAGAGGAGTGGCTATTGTGATAAAGCGTAACATTGCAATTGGAGCTGTGGAGCAAATCCAGGACACTCATGAGAGGCTTGTAATAGTCAAAATTCAGTTATGTAATAAGAATATTGCAATAATTTGTATGCTCCCAACTTTTTTGATAAGAAATTTTATGACAAACTTACGAAATGCTTTTAGATCTCACAGGTTACTCTCTCATAATAGAAGCAGATTCTAATGCTGTGTGGAATCATGAAAAAGATAGGACCGGCATATACAAAAGCAGGGAACAAAAATCTGGGTCAGAAGCTCTGTGTCAATGGGCGACAGATCTGGGGGTTATAGACATCTGGCGCATGGTCAATCCAACCAAATGGGATTTTTCCCACCTTCTCTCTAGGCACAAATCTTTTTCTAGAATTGATTATGTCTTTGCCACTTAAAATGTCTTTTCTAATATTGTAGATTATTTTTTACTGTCTACGACTATCACAGATCCTAAGGCGGTTTTCTACACAGTGGCTATTGACAACACTCCAGCTTGTGCAGCCAGATGGCGGTTTAATACGACTTTATTGAAGAATGAGAGTATCAAGAGACAATTTAAGGAAAAATGTACAGAATTAAATACAGCTCAACAGGGGATCAGTGAGTGACCCTAGGATTCTCTGGGATGCCACGAAGAGATTTATCCGGAACAATGTTATTTTATTTTCTTCCAATCAAAAAAGAGACAGTCTTCAGACATTGCAGCAACTCAAATCTAAATATACAGAATTGGATCACATATTGCAAAATAGTTATTCAAATGGCATAGCCATACAATGAAAGACAGTTAAAAAAGAAAAAAATTCCTTGAATAGCGCTCAGTCTGAATTTCCCATGCATAGAGTAAGACAGAAATATTACTTCCATGGATCTTGACCAAGTCACCTGTTACCCATGAAAATTCGATCCAGCGATCAGTTTGCTGACATTTCAGCCATTAAATCGGAAGAGGGGGTGTTGGTAACAGATCCCAAAAAAATAAATTTGGTAATTCAATCATTTTATGCTCAGCTATATAAATCTGAAGTAATGTATAATAAATCCACATATGATGCTTTTCTCAACAATCTAGAATTACCTTGCTTGTCCGAAAAGGAAGCAAAGACATTGGGTGAACCTATATCATTACAAGAATTAGAACAAACCGTGAAAGAGATGCAGGGAGGAAAGTCACCTGAAATAGACAGGACTCCTCATGAATTTATTTTAACGTTCTGGGATATGCTTGGTCCTCTACTCTTGGATATGATACATCATTCCATAGAAAAGAGCTCATTCTCTAAGAATGATAACATTGCTCTAATATCCATATTATTAAAAAAAAGACAAGGACCAGTGGCGGATCTAGGGGGTGGCTACTAGGGCTCAAGCCACGGATGTTTTCTCAAGAGCCCAAGATCTCGGATCTGAGCTGGTCTGAGTTTAATTTGCAGTACTTGAGTTCACCAGAGAGTGGCAGCATGTGCAGCAAAGCAGCCTGTAGCCTTCCTGTTCAGATGAAGAAGTGTTTCCCTCTAGTGGCTGTTACTACTCCTCTATTCTATGGCCAGCATCTAACAACGAGTCAAGCGCCTCCACGGCAAATTTTAACCCATATAAACTGGGACAGCATGTACGCATTTCAACCTTCCAAGCCTGTGGTGCTGCTGCGCATGTCTACTCTTTAAGCCGGGAGCGCGGATATGTCATTTTGAAACATTCCGTAGTTTTTCAATCATTTCTGGACTCGTGGTGAATCAAATCAACATAACTGTCTGCCTCTGACAGGCTAATAAAGCTTAACAAAGTGTTCGGATTCATGCTCGGATTTTGCTATGTGCTTCGCGAGGAAAGTAAACAATGACAGAGGCAGAGAGCAGCTTCGGAGGAGAAGCATCCAGCAGGGTGAACAACCTCTTCATATTGAGGTCTCTGGCTTACACTATCGGCGATTTCTGTGAGTGTTACATGACTTTGGGTGAATTTTAGTTCATGAGTGAGTGAAGAGGAAAAGACAGGAGATGACCTATAACATTCAAAAGCAGAAGAGGAGGCATGAAAAGACAAGAGGAAATGTATTTAAAAAGTGAGGAAGACAAAGGAGAGGAAAGAGTTAAGAGAAAGTGAGGGGAAAAATAAACAGAAATGGAAATCACAAAAACTTTCGGAGAAAGCAAAAGAGGAGAGACAGCAGATGAAAAGGGGTTGAGAATAAAAGATTGAAGAACAGAGCAGTAAAGGAAAGTAGAGGTACCAGCTAGGATATCATACTTTATTTCACATCTTAAGTTTATGATCAGTCTGAATAACTTTTTTGTTTTATATTTTCTTCTTTCAGTGGACGTGAGGCATATGTTCATGGCATAAAACAGTGACTTCAACAAGGCTAGTGGTAGGACATTGGCATCATTAAAGGGTCTGAATTTTTAAGTGTTCTCCTCTGTGTCTTTTGCTGGCTTTGAATTGGTGGTTAGCTGAAATTAAAAAAAAATAGTTTTGTGTGCGTGGTAGCAAAAAAAGACAGAAAAAGTAAATCAGCATCTGCACCCTCAGGGCTAAGCCCCTGATCGCCTAGAATCCTAGATCCGCCCCTGACAAGGACCTGACGGTTTGTAGCAATTACAGATCTCTTTCATTACTGGATAGTGATGTGAGAATTTAAATGAATTTATTGCTTAACATAAATGGTAGTTGACTTCAGGGTGGGCGCTGGCCAAAACAACAAACAAAACCTCTTTTATTTAAAGCTATCTTACCTAACAAAAAGAAATTGTATTAAATAAAATACAGAGGGTCTTACCTGCCTCCCTAACCCAAAACATGAGAAAAGTTTGTGAAATCAAATAGCTGCCCACCCCTACCTACCAGACTGCTCTTGAAAAAACTTAAACTATTTGTCATGAAAGACAAATCAAAATTCACAAAGTTTCTAATATTCTAATACAAAAGGAGCCTCCACAAAACACAGGTCTGGCTGGGAGTCGAGACAAAGGAATGAGAGAGCTCCTCCAGCAGCCACCCTTTTCACAGCTTCCCTCCTCAGCTGCTGTCCAATCAGGCCACAGTCCTCTCCTGAAAAACAAAACAGACACAGGAACAGCACCTACCACAGGTAGGGAGGGTTACCCACAAACAAAATGTGCTGATGAAAAAAAAAACAGGGAACATATGACCCCTGGTCATAACAATATGACAAGGTACTTGACCGCAGATTACAGGCTTATATGACTACACTTGTTCACTGCAATCAAACAGGTTTTATTAAATCCCGCCTTGCTAGTAACAATGTCAGACGACTACTACATATTGTGGATTCAGTGAGGAATAGTAATTCAGCAGTGTTGTCCCTTGATGCAATGAAAGCATTTGACCACTTATGGTGGTCCTACCTATGGTCTGCACTAGAGAAAATGGGATTAGGGGAGGGCTTTATATCTCTCAACTCAACTCAACTTTATTTGTAAAGCACTTTAAAACAACCACAGCTAAACAAAGTGCTGTACATAAATAGACAAAACAACTAGACATAAAAAACAATTAAAACGATGGATAAAATAAAAGCAGATATTAAAAAGTAAAATATAGTTTCAATGTTTTTAAAAACTAATTTAAAAACATAGAAACAAATAACTAAAAACAAACCATAAAACACTAAAACAGGAGCCGAGTCTCATACAGGGTTGAAAGCCAATGAATAAAAATGGGTTTT